CATTGCATTAGTCGTTGGTGTTGTCGTCAAGGGCCTCACCTGCGGCCGCAAGCCCCCGGGCGACTACAGAAGAGCAAGATATGCCCCCGCGCTGCCGCCTGCGCAGCCACGGCCCGGCGAACGAATAGAGTAGAAGGAGATTGCTAGTCTCTACGTATGCGAGGTCTTTGTAATGAAGATAACGCGAAACACGTTCAAATATACACATTATCATTTCAAACGTAAGGAAGTCCCAGTGAGAGACTTTGAAGTATATGAAACGCGATCGACCCGACGAGGTGGGGGCTACGACCACGTAATGTAATGTCGGTTCGACTCGGGAGCCAGAAACTATCCACATAAAGTTGCTAGGACCGGTGCGTGAATTGTAAAAGGCCCTCCACCTTGTGACATTTACCTTAACGAGCAGCGGTATAAAGTTAGTGGAAACGAAGCGATCCATTCAACAAGCCAATCAGCGACCGACAAACCAATGCATGAGCCCATCGACTTGCAATGATGATGAGGACGGAAAAGACAGAAAGACGAAACCGTTCCACATTGTACCACCGTGTAAAGACTGAAAGCTCGGGTATTCATAAAATGCAATCGTTTATGATGGCAACGGTATTTACAAGACACATTCAAACCACTTTTGCGGCTTGCGGTCGGCACCCCACCAGCCGTCGCCGTTGCGGAACGAGTTGTCGAAATGGTTGACACTCGCGAGGTAGTTGCCGCCGTCGGCATAGTTGTTTGAGAACGAGCTCGCTTCGAACCCGACACGGCAGCTCTCGAACGCCACCACGCCGTCGTTCATATCGCCGTGCTTCGTCAGCGCACTCACGAGCTTCATCACGGGGCCAAAGATCGTCGAGAGACCAAACGAATCGCTGCCACACATGAGCACCGTGGCGTATTGCTTTCGAACCGCCTGTGCAGCAAGGAAGTTGGCCTTGATCGCCGGCGACACGGTCGTCTCGTGCTTGAGCTTGAGAAAGGCGTCCGTGATCGGGCAGAGCGTCGTGATTTCCAAAAGACCCTTGAGCGGGAGGTTCCCGCCACCTTGTTGACATTTTTGCTCAAGGAGGTTGCCCGACAAGCTGCCTTGCATCGGACCCGCGATCGACACCCACGTGACCTTGTTGGAGAGGTTGCACTTGCCCTTGGCGACGGCGCTGCCCGTGATGAGGTTGCCCATCGAGTACGTGACGAGGATAAGGTCTTCGATGGTCTTCGTCGTCGACTTGCTCACGCTGAGTGCAGCGTCGCAAAATTCGTTTTGGATGTCGTCGTTGTCCCAGCCGCGTTGCCACATTTCAAAGTGCACAAACTTGGTCGACGAGCAGCACGGCGCGTGCTTGTGAATGAGGCCCCAATCAAACAAGTAAGTATTTGTCATGGGAGCCGAGAACAAATGACCGACACCGTGCACAAACAGACACGGCTTCATCTTCTCGAGCGAGCACCCGCACGACGACGACCCGAGACCGAGGATGCGAGGAGCACCCGTCGCCGCCTTCCAGATCGACGTCGATGTCTGCAACAACGTCTGACCCGACGCCGCGGCCACCGACGGCACCAGCACCGGACAGTCCAGCGCGGCGCCATCGACCACCGGCACGTCAAAGCTCGGCAACTGCGACGCGTCGCTCAAGTACTCAATGTCCATGTCGAGGTCCGTCCCCGTCGCGCGCGTGAGCTGGTGCGTCGGCGAGCTGCAGAACGCAAAGTCTTCGCCGGCAAACGTCAAGTGCAAGAGCTTGCCGTCCGTGCAGTTGGTGGCCGTCGAGCCGTTGACGCTGTCGACGATCGTAGCGCTCTCGAGACTCGACTGCATGAGCTCGACAGGCGGCACCCGCGACTGGTCCAGACACGACGCCGACACTTGCAGGTCGTTCTTGGACACGCGGTGGTACGCGCGCTGGTTGAGCAGCATGTACGTGTCGGTGACCTCGTCGCCCGTCGTCGACAAGAGCGCGTCAAACTGGAGCGACCCGGACGCCGACGCCGACGACCGCGGCACGACGTACACTTGGAGCGTGGTCTGGCCGTTGATGGCCATGCTGCTGCGCTTGGCGTGGAGGGTGAGGCGCAGACCGGGCGTCGACTGGATCAAGCTCACGATGGACGACGACGGCGCGCGGACCTTGGTGTCGTAGATGTAGTAGGCGCCGACGGACGCGCAGACGACGCCGCAAAAGACGATGGCGCCGATGATGAGGCGGAGGCGCGACGACTTGCGGGGCACTTGGTTGTTGTTGTCGACGTCTTTGATCGAGGCAAAGGCGACCGTCGGGTCGTTGGTTGGCGTCGAGACAATGGCAGGTGTCGATGGCAGCATATTTGGTGCTGGGCTTGTGGGTGACGCAGACAATAGAAAGATGGGACTGGGTCGCTGCCGAGCGTTTGGTCGCGGGACCTTGAAGCGCGCGAAACAGGTGACCGAGACTGTCTACATGACGCGGGTGACAAGATACGTGCAGTCGCGCAGCAGTATCTTTTAGACCCAGATGGTAGGGTTGACGAAACGGACTTGAAACAGCCGAGCCGCCACGTTAGCGACACACGCTCATCGTTCACGGGGGGTAGTCGCTTGTCATACCAACCGCAAAAGACCCATAACGTTATTTCTCGAGCGCCAGCATTGGCTGTGCCTGTATACACAAGGCCGCGCAGTGGACACGTAGGGATTGAAGCGGACACGGACGCGCTTCAATTGACCGTAAAATGGGAAAACGGCGATCGGACAGGCGGCTGCATCAACAGCGTTGGTCGCGGCCGCCGCTTGCCGTTGCGTCTGTATGGTGCTTCATCCATCGCCACCGTGGCAGCGGCCGTTGACGAAACCATGGGTCCGACCCCGCGAGCGTCGTCCTTTCGCGCTTTGTACAGTGTCTTTTCTACTACAGAGTGGACACCATATGCATTGCGTGTATCCTGTACTAAATAGCGTAAAACGACTGGCAAGGAATAGTTTCCTTTCGTGAATTAACGCTTGGACTGACGTCATAAAGGAACACTTTGATTCATGGCTTCTTCAACCCGACAACCCAAAACCCCCGACTGATCGCGCAACGATGACGACCCTCGATGCCCATAGGTGTACCACCATCTTCCACGACGGTCGCACTGTCGTGAAAGGTGGTACATAGCGTGGTGGAGTTGCATCATTCTCATCACTCTGGTTGCCATACAACAGCGTACTGTCGCGACTGGATCGCCGTCGTCGTTCGCAAGGTGCTTAATTTGGGGGACCTTCACGCGCCATCACCCACTTCGGTGGACGAACGTATCTGAGGGCGAAAATTCATGCGCGAGCATGGATAGCTCACGCCGAGGTGACAAGCCCTTGCGTTTGTTGCCGACAAGAACAGCGATAAGCGACGCCAGCAACGTGGAAGAATGCGTATCTCCGGCACTTGTGATGGCAACGGCACCCAACGCCACCGTGACAACGGGGTTCGTTGAACCGACGACATTAACGGAGCTTTCATGAGAATGCCTCTTCTCTTCAATGTCGATGGTCGTGCCCCTTGTGTACTCCCTCTTGGTGCAGCAGCAGTCGTGGCGATCGTGTGGCATACTTCGCGCAGGCAGCAAGTCTTGCAGACTGCACCGGCGCTGTCATGGTCGCATTGGGTGCCGAGGCCGCCCGTCTGGCAGAACGATGCTGAATATTTTGTTTCGTTAAAGGCAACGAGCAGAGAAACTACTCGAGTGCGCGTCCTTGGGTATCCCACACCGGCTCGACGTATCTTCGTGCCCCGCGTTTATACTCGGACGCAGCGACATGCTTCGCGCTCGCGAGTACAAAAAAATGGTTTGCACTGTCACTGGACATTTGCATAGGTCTCTGCAATGCTGTAAATTTATGGCCTTGGTATCGGGTATTGCAGAGAATGAGGGGTATATGAAAGAAGCTTCTTAAACGGCAGCGCCGTTCCAGCATGGACAAAGTTTGTCCAAGACACCCAAGACAGCTGTTGCTGCCAAGATGTTAATGGACGCTTCCACTGCACAGGGCATGTGTCTTGTCGTTACGATGCAATATTGTCTAGTGTTTTGACTTGATTGGCGCATTTCGTCGGTACTAGTGTACTACACTTCATCAAAATCATTTCATGTATCAATCATAATTAGCAAACGTAGCTCCTACACGATCGACTGCAATGGCTTCGCGGCCTCGGGTCTCCGTGCAACAAACAGTTGCCCGCGCACGAGCCGCGGCACAAACAATAGCGCCGACACGACAGCAGCAATCGGGTAGCTAAAGAGGCGCGCGACGTTGAGCAGCACCAGTCGCTTCCACTGCCATGTGCCGACAATGTGTCGGTACGGCGCACGCTCGACGCCAAACCGACCAAAGAGGCACTTGCCAATGCTGCGCGGCGTATACGCCTCGAGCACCATGAAGATGCCACGTGCGAGTCGCTCGCCGGCCCAGGACGGTGCCGTGTTGAGGTGGGTGGCATACGCGAGTAGTGCGCGGACGTCGGGCAGGCGGCGGGTCTCGTAGAGCGCAAAGGGCGACGACGGGCTCGCATCGACGCAGGCACCGAGCACGAGCGTGTCTTCGAGTCCACTGTTGATGCCCTCGCCCGTCGGCGGCAAGACCGAGTGCGCAGCGTCGCCAAGCAAGACGACCCACTCGCTTAGCTGGAGCTTCTCGCATGCGACGACCGCACCACGGTACGTGCGCCGCTCAAAGTACTTTTTGAACTCGTCTTCGGGCACCAGCGGAAGAAACGCCGGTGCAAACGACTGGACCCATGCTTTGAGACGCGCAATGTTCTCGGGCGACGCATCCTGGGAGAGCACGAGCTGCGATGGACTCGAGGCGGCGTCCGTGTCGCGCACACACGTCACGAGGCTCCACTGTTGTTGTCCGTGGTTGTCGATCGTCGCCGTGTAGCCACCGCTAAAGATGTAGTGGACTGCAGGATCCAGAACGTCTGTCATTTGACCCACAGACCCAAAGAGAACGCGGTACTCGTTTGCCCACGGCGTAATCGTGACGCCAAACGACGGATCGGCGGCAACCAGCGCCGCCCGCACCTTGGAGTTGACGCCATCGGCCGCCACAATTCGCGCTGACGAGGCGTCAATCGTGACGACGCCGCCGTCACGCACTTCAAACTCGAGGTGCTTGGCGCCCACGTCCATGTGGCGCAGCTTGTGGCTCATGTGCACCGTGATTCGCTCGTGCGCCAGCGCGGCGTTCATCAGATGCAAGTTGACGTTGCCGCGTGACGTGCCGTACACGACGCCCGAGAGCTGCTTGGCGACGCAGCGCGCACCGGCGTAGATCTGCCAGGCATCGATGACGCGGCCTTCGGTCTTGACGCGCTCGGCGACCGCGGGCGCGACGCTCGCGATCGCGTGCAAGCCACGGGGGTTGACGCCAATGGGGTAGCTCTGCTCGGGGTCTGTCGGGATGTTGTCGCGGCCTTCGTAGATGGTCACGCTGTGCCCGCGCTGTGCGAGCTGGAGGGCGGCCGCGCAGCCGACCGGCCCGCCGCCGATCACAATGTACGCACTCATGCTGATGGAAAGTGCAAACTGAGCGAAACGGCGAAACAAACCAGCCAATCAACGTCGAGATAGCTTGGAACTGGCCAATCAGGCAGCCGCAGGCAGCACCGCCACGCGCGGGGACTTCCGAGGCCTTCCCTCGCGCCATCACACGACGCCGGATGACGTGACTCGGGCGCAGTCCCGTCATACAAGTAAGTGCAAGGCAAAATTCATGCATACTAGTACGACCACACACTTTGACAGTAGTTAATTGTCGTTGACATGCTGCGTTATGCTAGTACGCGATCGAACGACTAGGCCTCGCTATCGCCAACGCTGGACACTACGTGTAGTGTGATTGCGTCGCGTTTTGCGCAACGCAAAGTACACTGTAGCTTCTCTCCAACTTGAGACCTTGCTTCTTGCTGACGTGAGGACTTGCATCTTGCCGACATGAGAACTGAGATCAAACGACCACGGCTTGTGGGTCACTGCCAGGCGCCGCATGACCATGTAGGCTGGAACGTAGAGCAACCAATTCGGCGAGAAATTGATCCAACATGATGCACCTCTGGCGGTGCAGGTTCAGCCAGACATAAGCGACGACGCGAGACACGCGATGCTCCACAGTGTCGAGGAATCTGTCATCGACCAGCCTTTGCACCACGCTGACCCACCACACATGCCAAAAATCACAGTCTGATATTCCCATGACTTGTTCTCTTGGAGAAAAGAGGCCCGAGGCCTGTCTTACCGCTGCACCTCGGATGAGGCGTGGCTGTCTCCCTTTCAGCTCCTTGTAGGCGCGAACAACGACGGCATCGAGTAGATTCGGGATTTCTCAAACTGGTCGTGGCGCAATCGCGACTTGCATAAAGTCCCGGGCACACACGACGTTATCCGAGCCAAACGCAGTGGTTGCGAGCGCCTTAATGTTGTCCATGACGGCGAGGCTCTCGGCGGCGCCGTCGCCTTTGTACCGACTTGAGAAATGGTTGAGGACGAGTCGCTTGCATCGCATGGCGTTGGCAAAGGTGCCCGCCATCTCGGGCGTTGAGTGTCCGTGGCTTTTGGTTTGCGCTTCGACGTCGGCTGGCGTCGCGCCGGTGGCGACATCGGACGGCAAGCACGCGTTCGTCGCTTCGTGGACGACAACGTCGACGTAGGCATCTTCGGCTGTTAGAGAAACAAAAGCAGAAGCGAGCGCATCCGAGGTGTCACCGAGAATGACGATGACGCGCCCGGGTCGTGTCGGACCGACGCACGTTTCTGGCGACAGCACCGTGCCGTCGGGCATCGTAAGTGTCTCGCCGTTTTTGAGCTTGGGTAGTAGCGCCATCGGGTTCTTGAGCTGCAAAGCCGCCTTGTTGCGCTGAAGAATTGGTGCAACGAGCTCAATGTTGAGGCGTCCGGGCGACGCTGGTTCCCGGAGAAGGTACCCGACCGTGGGCACCGTGTGTGGAATCGGCGCGGCCAGAATCTCAAATGCCGTCGCCGTGCCGACCTGCAGCGTCCAGTAGGTTGTCGCCCTGTCGTCCTTGTTGGTACTCTGATACGTCGCGACAAAGTCGTCGCCAAGGACTTCGTCAATGTGGCACTCGTCGTTGCGCGACGGTGTGTCACTGGCGAGCAGCAGCTCATGTAGCACAAACCTACATGAACGAAAATGAGCAAAAAATTGCGTCGCTATCGTGTCGAACCCAGTGCCAATGCGCGACATGGTGTGTCGTAGCATGTTGCGGACGTAGGCTTTGAGCCCGCGCGGACCGTAGATGTGAATCGGGTTGGCCTTCTCGGGCACGTCCGACGACACGACCGAGCCCGCCGTGCACAGAAGCCCCGGCAAGCCAAAGCAGTGGTCGCCGTGCAGATGCGTCAAGAAGATGCGACTGATTTTGGCCAGTCGCGGTGCGCTGAGAACGGCGCACGCATTGCCCGGCGCCTGCAGCGCTAGCGTCGCGTGGCCGGCCATGAGGTTGATCATCTGGTGCTGCGTGCCCTCGCCGCAGTCAAAGAGCCACACGTCCGAGCCGTCCGGGCGGAACGCGAGTGAAGAGTGGTTGCGCGTTGGCGACGGCTGCGCCGACGCAGTACCGAGGAACGTTATGTCCATCTCGAGACGAATCGCAACTGGCGCCACGGATGGCGCCGGGGCATCGACCAGCCACCATCACTCGTGCATGGCAACCCAGAGTGACGGTAGTCGGCGCCCACTTTGCTCTTTACCATGACGCATGCTTCGAATATGATTGACCCATCCTGCAATGGCTCATGCAAATGCCAATACACCGAGGAATGCTTTACCAGAAATATGAGCTTGCTGCTGTCTGGGTTGAGTGGCTTGGCGTAGTCAGTCAGTCGACTACATTTGTCGTAGTATAGAAGGCTGGCCGGTTGTCGCGAGGATGACACTAGCGTCCATACCAAGGCTACGGAGGGCTATCCAAATACGGTGCGCTCATGGCTTGAAGCCGTGTCGTGTCGGGTGCAACGCCACGCGTGGCAAGGCGGCGGCGATTGGGTGTTTTTAGCCTCCTTGCCGGATACGCCACCCGGTGCCATTTTCAAACATGCGCGACTACGACGGCTACTACTCGTCGGACGCAGTCGCGAAAGGGTACCTGCCCTACTGCAACATTGGTCTCCACGACAGCGAGGCCAAGGTGATGCACGACGTGCCCCAAGCGCACAACGCCCACCTCTACCGCGGTCTTCTCAAGCTGTCGCCGGTCGTCGACGCCATTGCGCATGAGACGCACCGACTGCACGTCCTGGACGTGGGCTGCGGCACGGGCGCCGGCCTCCACGTGATCCAAAAGACACTCGAGGCGTGGCATTCGTCGCCGATGACCGTTGTCGGTGTCGACAAGTGCGCGTCGGCCGTCAAGGCGCACAAGAAGCTCTACCGTGGCAAACAGAAAGTGCTCAAGTACGACGTCGAGGGCCGCATGACTGCGTTTGCACGCGCCAAGTTTGACGTCGTGACCGCCGTCCAGAGCCTCCAAGAGTGCACGCCGGCGGCGCTGACCGAGCTGTCCCGCGTATTGAAGCCCCATGGGTTCCTGCTGGTCGCCGATTTCGTCAATCCGCGCCAGCCTTTTGACTGCCTCCACGCGCTTCAGTCGCACCCCGACTTTCGTCTGCGCGAGCACCGCGATGTGTCGTTTAGCGCGACGATCGCTGCCAAGAGCAACTCCACAGTGTACGACTAACTGACTTGGACCTGGCGCTGCATCGGTTCGTGTAGGCTGCGCGCAGTTTTGAACGAGTGCGTTAACGATGCGACCTTGCGCGCTGCGATGGCCGAGATGCTAACGCTCAAGAAGACGTCGCAATATGAGGATGTCCGGCTTGGCAACATCCAATATGGTCTTTTTTGCTTCGAGTATGTCCCGTCGACGTCGGTGCCCGACGTCTTGGCGCCGATCGACGTCGATGACAGCAGTGACAACGACGACGACGATGACGATGACGACGACGACGACTCGGACGATGACATTGATGACAAGTGCAACCCGAGCTACTACGACTACAGGTACTACTTCAAGTCCATCACCATTTAATGGACAAGGTCTCAACGTTTGCGGTCTAGTGAGGTATTCCCGCAGCTCGAGCTCCTTCGCACCCACTATGAAACGATTCGCGACGAAGCGCTCAAGGCCCAATTGGCCACCGACTGGCCCAACTGGCCCGAAGACCACTACATTGGTGAGGACGGCGAGTGGCGCGTCTTCCCGCTCTGCTACACGTTTCCGGCGTGGGACGCCTCGAAAACGACGTGGGTGACCGGGACGTGTGCGCAGTGCCCCGCGACCGTTGCGCTCCTCCGGCAGATCCCCGGCATCCGCACGGCGCTCTTCTCCAAGCTCGGGCCCGAGACGACGCTTGGCGCCCATCGCGTACACCTGCTGTGACGCGGTGGCTACCTGACGTGGATTAGGGTTGGGCGGACCTCGCCAACGACATTTTGCGCTGCCACGTTGGCCTCGATGTTCCGACGTACGACGGCAACGAGTCGACGTGCTGCATTGTCGTCGATGGCGAGCCGCGCGCCCAAGCCAACGGCCGCGTCCTCGTCTTTGACGACAGCAAGCTCCATTATGCCTTCAACCACCACCCGACCGCGTCCCGGTACTCGACAGCTGGCGATGTGATGGCTCTCTCAATTCGAATCCGCTAGGTGCATTCTTATTGTCGACTTGTATCGGCCGGCGCATCTGCCACGCGGCATGGCCCGCGGCGGCCACACGGACGAGCTCGATGCTTTCATTGCCCAGTACAACGCGGCCATGAACTCATGAGACGATGGATGGTCGCTACCGAATCTTGATGTTGAACACGCCTACGCAGTGTTCTCGTACACAGCATATCGTAGCGAGTGCGTACATCCAGGCACGGCGTTGAGGTCGGCGTTGACGATCGCGAGGAGACCGAGGTTGGCGAGCGCGCCGCGGAGGACGCCACAGGGAAAGACGAGGAAGACGAGCGCTTTTTGCTTCGACTCGGCGTCAGTCTCGGCAGAGAGCGCGTGGATCCAGCGAAAGTTGAAATCTTGCAGCACAAAGACGCCCTAGTGCATGGATATGAGGTCAACGAACGATCGATGGAAGGTCATGCGCACGCGGTGGTTGGTCTGAAGCTTGTCGATCTGCTTCTTGAAGATGTGGATCCAAAGGTCCTTGCAGATGAACTTGATGATGTCGAGCGGCTCGAGGAGGCGCGACCGGTCCCGCGAGAAGCGCTCCACGAAGCGGTAGCCAACGTCGTACCCAAAGGCCTCGAGCTTCGCGGTCAAATCGTCGTTGAGCGCCGAGGAGCCCGTCGCTGCCTCATGGCGCTCGATCTAGCCCAGGACCATGAGATGCAGCTAGGCCAGCGTCGCGGTTACCATGGACCGGACGGCCTCGCCGTAGAGGTGGAGGAAGCTGCTCTCGGCCACTTCCTTCTGCATCGCCACTTCGTCGATCCTGCGCATCCGGATACACAAAACCGGTCAACTAAACTACTAAATCTGGCGATGGAGAACGACTAGCACGACATTTAGAAACCCGGCCGTTGGATCTACTAAGTATCGGATGAGTCCAGCGACACGAAATACAGGAGGAAAATATTCGCAGCGAACGGCTCGTCAGTATGTATACTCAGAGCCCACAAGTCTTGCACAAGTCTTCGTCGCTAAGTGTCCTCGCGGGCCGACACATTGGAGTGGTATTCTGTTCATACACTGTCTTTGCCGACAATACAGTGTATGGGTATTTTGGCATATATTCGCGTCGTGACGACAACGCGCAAAAGAGGTATCTTTGCACATCGCGCTGCCTGTCAAATTCTGCTTTGTCGCTGCCTCTGAGATTGAATATCCGCGCTGTATCGGCCTTTTGTATGCCAAAGAATCTGGTCGAGCGATCGGACTGGGAAGATCCTCTCTGATGCACCAGCTGGCCCCATCGCTGGAAGTAAAATTTATTCCCAGCGATGGGGCCACCAAGACCGATGGCTGGCGACTGTACGGTAGGCACCAGAACGCGGGTCATACACGGGTCTGGTAGAGGGCAAACCCGCGCAAGGCGACAGCAGACTTTCCAGTGATTTCGCAACACAGCCAGTCGTGCGACGACCAACGATCCTGTCGACGCAATGGCAGACACCGGGTATTAATTTCCGAGCAGCCGCGAGCAGCTGTGTGAACCATCATCCCCTTCGTGCAGCAAGTCCCCTCTCGTGCGAGCATTCGACCAAAAAGAAATCGTGCGAAAAGCGTTGCGAGCGTAGATATAGAAATTACAGCGTTAAATAAGGAGTCTTGTGCTCATGGCGACGCGCGTAGGCGGCGGCTCGAGCTCTCGGACCACTCGTCGTCTTCGGTGGGCATCGTGGGTGGCGCGTGCAAGTCCCGGTACAGCTCGCTCTTGCTCAGATAGGTCTCCATTTGGTCGCGGTAGACGTCCATGGCCGACGGCGCCGCTGCTGGCGTCGCGCACGGGTTGGTCGAGTAGATGCCCGTGGACGAGAAGACCGCCATGACCGAGTACATGACGCAAATGAGGGCCACCATGCTTGCTCGACGACGCAAAAGCGAAAATGAAACGGTGATCCGCTGTTTTTGGATACCTCGCAAATCAAATATATCCAGATTGTAGATTCAGCCAGCTGGTGGCGAGTCATCCCACACTTCAAGGTTGACTGTGGGCGCTCACGCTCGGGTGATCGTTGCTCGTACAGCTCCGTGGCCGTCCTAGCGGGTCGTGTGTACAAAGCTTATAGCTCCAGAGAAGGGTCAACTAGACATTTCTCTTCTCGCACGAGCGCGCAGCCCATCAAGTCAGTGATCCAGCATGGACGTGGGACACGAGGCATCCGGCCATGTGGCTTTACACTCGTCATTCAAGCCCTCAGAGGTCATTGCACGAGCAATACGCCAATGCAGAGTGGCGAGACTTTGTGGCTTCCGCCGGCGGCGCCAGTAAGGGGATCTATACCCACGCGCTTGACGTCGATCACGAAATGCAAGAGGCAAACATGGTCTTTAAGATCGCGCTTGGCGACATGTACGCAGGAGGGAGCGGTGCCGGAACGAATCGAATGCGAATGGTTCTGTGGTAATATGTATGCCGGAAATTCGTGCCTATTGGAAATTAGGTTGGAGGCCGGGCGACCCTAGAAATAGGACCCTTAATCCGTAAAATTCGAAAGACTCATTTCAACAACGTCGCACAGCTGTCCGTCCGATCGATACAAATGATGAGGCATCTGGATCTCGATGGACTTCGCTGGATCGTCCCGAGGTTATTCCTGGTCTTGCGATGGGCAACGAGACATCTCGCGACGAGGTTTGAGGTGCATGTCCATGGCCTCAGTTGCCCCACCACCAGTCGTTCAGCCTACTAGTAGTAGATTCCGACTATGTCGTCGCTTTCTGGAATGCATGAACGTACCGAGCGGTGCGACGCCGGCGTCGGGTGTCGAGGCTGCAACATAAGCGTGGTACTCGACACGAGTGTTTCGTAGTACACTAGCCTTCGACTATGGGCCACGAGCGTACCCATGACCGTCCACTGGATTGAAAATGAGAACAAATATATATTGGGTCGGACCGATTTTACGTTAACGTTACGTCGCGCCACCTCGACCTCGGCACTCTGCTTTACTACACATCACGGAGCAACCCCCAAGCGGAATGCTTCATCGACAATATGCAGTGCCTTGACCACTGTATCATTCTGCATGAACTCTGGATGAGCTCTGTATCACTCCAGGAGCTCAGAATGACCTCGGCAGTAACACTGGATGAACTCTGGATGACAAATACAATTGATGCGAGTTCGGGGCAAGCTTTGATATACGCTGTACAAGGCTAGTATCCGATTAGAGAGTGTGGTATCCAATGGTGTTGACCTGCAGCAACCGACAAGATCGTTTCCCAAGGATGTCGAACATAGGTCCACGGACTCCAACAGCAGCAAGGACGAGTCGCATTTGTGCAGTACATGCATATAAATCCAAACTCGAATCTCCGCTTCGAAAAGAGAAGAGGCTGGTAAAGGGTATCATTAGTCCAAGAAATCGCGTCCCGCCAGACGTGCACTATCGGGCGACGAGCAAGCCACTGTCAATGGCATTTCCATCCAGCTCCATGTAATGGGAAGAGAGACATCTCGTCTTCTCGCCAGGCGTACTCGTGTCGTCCAAGCGAGGATGCAGCAGCTCATTTGAGAGACGAGGTAGAGGAGACTGTGAATTAACCAAGCGGCGAGATTAGGTCTTTCGACATTCCGTCCATCACTGCTGCATGTTTCA